TGCGACAGTAGTGATGTGGTGTGGAAAGAGCGTGGACTTAGGTCTGGCTCCAGAAACACGTTCTTCCATCTGCTAGTGTGTTACCTTTTACAACTTACATCTGTGTGCTGAAATTACCTAAAATAGTGATTTTCTCTCCTTCACCAGGTGGAAGGATTAAATGAGATAGTGTTCATAGGAAAGGTACTTCTGGGTTCCTTAGTGCCTCCCGCCCCCGTGGTGGGGATTCTCCCTCAAATCTGAACTCTCAGCATTTTTACCTCCTTCGGGGAAAACAAAACTATTGGACAAGCACTTACTGAACCCCCACTTTGTGCGGAATGCAGTTCCCAGCACTCTGGGGGGTTCAGAGGTGACTAAGGTGTCCTTCTGGCCCTCAAGGAGTTCATCGGGAGGCAGGGGAGGTGAAATGTGTACTTAACTAGGATACACTAGAAGGCTGTGAAGACTATAGGAAAATATCAGTGAAGTTTCTTAGACACCCAGGCTGGCAGGAAAGGACAAAGAAGGCTTTAGGAAGCCTTTATTCTTAAATCGTTTTGGTATTGGTTTTCTTTTCTTGTATAATATTTATCTTAGGAAGTTTTAAACTAGAGCAGGGTTTCAACGTTATTGACACTTTGGCCAGATACTTCTTTGTGGTGAGGACTGTCCTGTGCATTGTCGGATGTTTAGCAGCATCCCTGGCCTCCGCCCACTTAGATGCCAGTAACACCCTCCAGTTATGACAATCAAATTGTCTTCAGACACTACCAGGTGTCGCCTGGAAGCAGAATCACCCCAAGTTGAGAACCACTGAACTAAACCCTGAACAAAAGGGCAGAAATAGGGAATCATGTATACATCTTCTATATATAGTACATATTTAAATTTTAAAATATGTTATAAAATTTTAAAGCAAATGATTTCTCATAACTGGATTTTAACTTTGGAATTCCTAACCATGCCATGGAACCCAGAATTGGGATTCACTGCTCCCACTCTTGGTAGTGCTCTGGGTAGCCTATGGAAGCCCTGCCATTTTATGATCAAGCATATTAATTGGCTACTAGGAGCCTCTCTGTAACTTGGAGAAGAATCAAAGTCTGCAGTTCAGGAAAGGAAGTTTTGCACTTATCATTGACTCAACTGGATAATTAAGAGAGACTTTCTGCTCAGGGGCAACTTCTCATCATGGTTTTTAATCTCAGCTTCACCATTTCATAGTTAGATGATTCGAGTACATCACTTTCCCTCCAAAACCTATTTCCTCATCTGTTAAATGAAGAAAATCATGTTTCCTACCTCATACTGGGAACATTGAATGCAATTATGCATGTAGAATGCTGGCCATGTGCTAAACACTCTGACATATTTGTGATCTTCATCGTCCATATCGTTATTGTTGTCATTGTTGTTATTAAGTTGAGCTTCCCTTTCAGGGCAGTTCTGCAGTTAGCAGTCACTCCCTTTGCTAGTGCTCCTGCCACTGCTTTCCTTGCTCACCCATCCCCACGCTGGCCATGGTTTCAGCTGTGGGGTGCACTGACTCGTCTGACTTGCTTAGCAGATATGTATTGAGTACCTAGTCTGTGCCATCCACCATTCTAGGTGCTGGGGAGAATACAGCAGTGTCAGAACAGAAAAAATTCCCTGCTTTCATGTGGCTTATGTCATTATCGATGAAGTACCCTGTTCTTATCTTTGATGGTTTTCTGGTCTGTTTTTTTTTTTTTTTTTTTTTTTTTTTTTAGAACAGTGGTTCTTAAATGTGTGGTCTTGAACCAGCAGTATTATATTTGAGCTTGTACCCCAGACTTACTGAGTAAAAATCTGGTGGGGTGGAAGGCAGTGGTGTGTGGTTTAACAAGTCCTCTGGGTCATTCCAGTGCACTAAGTTTGGGAGCCATTGTTTGGGAAAAGAAAGGAGTGGGGAAAGCCCCAGGCCTTAATTGGGCTGCAGTGTTATGTGGTGCCATCAAATAAGGTGTTGCTCATATCATGTGCTTTGGATAACATCAGAGTTTACAAAGGATAGTCTTAGGTGTACTAAGGCGGTTAAAACTGGCAGTACCCTTTGATCTTTTCCCTGGGCCTGACCATCCCTCCTTTCTTTTTTCTTTTTTTTTTTTTATTTTTTTTTTTGAAACATCTGCTTTGTTGTGACCTCCTTTAAATGGAAGGGCTTTGGGAGCCTCCTGAGTCCCACAGCACAGGACTCAGTAACAGATTCCGAGCCTGCCTTGGGCCTTACAGTGCCTGATGTGCAAGGAAACTCCAAAGACTTTTTACGTGTTTGTTTGACAATTATTTTTCTTCTTTTAATTCCTTCTGTTTTAATTGTCCTCTTACCTAGCATCTTTAAAAATCTTTCTATCTGTAATCAAGTTGCCAGCCAGACGCACAAGGCTTATCTGGAAATGAAATGGCGGCTCTCCTTCCATGTCTGGTAATTGGGGTGTTTAAAGATATCGTGAGGTGCAAATGAAATGAGAGACCCTGAGAAACTATCCAGGCTGGAGCTGGGCACAGAGGGACCATTTGATAGATGTTGGTGCATTTCCTGCCCCATCCAGACTCATAAAAACCAATAAAGTCACTAAGTGGACACCACAGTTTTTTGTATAAAAGGCTTTGTAGTAGGCACAATTTGAATGAGTATGAATAACCATCAAATAAATTATAACCAAAATCAGAATCAGAACTCTCGATTACTCAAAACTTTTATTTTAAAAAATATGTAATTAAATATTCTTTTCTGAGACAGTCTCGCTTTGTTGCTCAGGCTAGAATGAGTGCCATGGCGTCAGCCTAGCTCACAGCAACCTCAAACTCCTGGGCTCAAGCAATCCTCCTGCTTCAGCGTCCCGAGTAGCTGGGACTACAGGCATGCGCCACCATGCCCAGCTCACTTTTTCTATATATATATTAGTTGGCCAATTAATTTCTTTCTATTTGTAGTAGAGATGGGGTCTCCATCTTGCTCAGGCTGGTTTGGAACTCCTGACCTCCAGCAATCCGCCTGCCTCGGCCTCCCAGAGTGCTAGGATTACAGGCGTGAGCCCCCGCGCCAGGCCTAAATATTCTTTAAAAAATATGTTACCTGGTTTTTCTTTTCATGATGGATTTAAAAAACAAACAAACAAAGAAAAAACAAACCAAACGAGATTAGCAGAAATACTTTACTTGTGCACTAGCCCCAGACCTGGGTCTGCTTATAGCTACCTTGTCCCTTTAACAGCCATTATTTAATTTATAAACGCTAATTAATTACCGCCATGTTAAAAGGAGTGTTTGGGTTAGTTTGGTGGATGCTTCTGAAAAAAGACTATATCTTGCCAGTGCATATATGAAAGATTATAAAGCTCTATTATGGCCCAGGTTTATCTTGGTGGTTCTTTTCTAAAAATATCTTCCTGGCCATTGGTAGGCATTTCCTCTCCCTTTCTGTTCACTTTCAGCCAAAACAACAACTTCTGGTTACAGTGACAGTTTTTTAAGTTTGCCCGTTGTGGTTGATTATGCTTTAGAGGTTGGGAAAGGAAGCCAAGCAGTGCTCGCTTCTTGCTCCCTGCCTTGCTTTAGAGGGTAAGGATCAGCTTCTCTCATTCCTTGATTTTCAAAGTGTGTTGCTCTACATGGGGAGGACAGAGGAGGTGTGTGTGGCCCTTAAATGCCACCTGGAAGCCCGGCATGACTCAGCTACCGCCATTTTTTCCGAAACCAGCTCTGGAGACCGAGGTATGGGCCTCCCTTCTGACCTGTGAAGAAAGAAATTGGAATAGAGGAAGCACTGTCTATATAGTCAGGTTTTATATAATAAATATTTTGTCAGGTGGATCTAGAGACACATTATCAATTTGACAGTAACAAGTGGCCAAATGTTGAGCTCTTTTGAGTCTTGCTTTTCATTTCCTGTAATACAAGAATAACAGTGTTAAAATGGCCAGCCAGTGGGCTGCCTATTTTAGGTAAGGCAGGTCTCCTGCAATTCTTGCACCTTAGATCTCCATAGGAATAGGTATAGCCCCCAACCGTGTAGGATTAGGAATTCAGATTTATTGCTCTAGAGGACTACTTTGTATTAATCAGAGTTCTGAAGGCTGGTAAACTAGAATGTGTGTGAACTTACTAATTTACCTTGAGAAATAAAACTGCCAAGTGGACAGTTGCAGAAATTAGTATTGCCTGTGTTTCCGATCAGAAGGTTATTGGCTGAGTCAGAATAAAGGCGTCGAATGATCCTATTAGTATCCTCCAGCTGTGATGGCTTCTCGTGCCTGCAGAGGCAGGGGTGCTGCTGGCTGTTTAAGGAACATATGGACACTGTCATTTACTCAGGTGTTCAATTCTGTGACTCCGGTATGAAACACTGAATTTGTTGCCCTTTTTTTTTTTTTTTTTAAAGAAAATACTTGTTTTTACTACATGTTTATTTTTGAAAATCAAAGAATATATAAGGAAGTGGAGTGATAATGAAAATACTCGCTTCATTCCTTCCTCGTCTTGCTGCCTTCCTAGAGAGAACCATAATAACAGGTTGGCCTTTTCATTTTATAACCATTTGAAAATATATATTTTATATAAAAGCACAAATGATGCAAAAGTACAAAAGAAGTGCAAATTATGGCTTATAGCTTTTGTTTAGCAAGGTATTAGATGTATTTCCATATCAGTATATAGTGATGCTCATTATTCTTTGTAATAGCTTCACTGCCACTCCATATATAGATATGCCAAAATGCTTTTTGTTATTCCTATTTGATGGTCATTTCTGTCTTTTCTTTTCTTTTTTTTTTCTTTGAGATAGTGTCTCACTGTTGCTGAGTGACATCATCATAATTCACTGCAACCTGAAACTCCTGGGCATTCTGCCTCAGTCTCCCAAGTAGCTGGGACTACAGGGGCACGCCACCACACCTAGATAATTTTTCTATTTTTTGTAGAGACACAGTCTTGCTGTTATTCAGCTGGTCTCAAACTCCTGGTCTCAAGTGATCCTCCTTCCTTGGCCTCCCAAAGTTCTGGGATTACAGGCACGAGCCTCTACGCCTCGCCATTTCTGTCATTTCTAATTTTAACTGTTGCTGTTATAAACAGTGCTGCATTGGATATCCATGCACATATGTTTTTGTGCCTGTGTGTATGTCTATGGGCTACATTTCTATATGTTGAATTTTTGTATCACAGGGCACATACATTAAATTGCTGATATATAGGGCAAAATTGTCCTCCAAAAAGGATGAATCAATTTATATTCTTACCACTCGTGTGGAAAGTGCCTGTTTCCTCATACTTTTTCAAACACTGGATGACATTAGTTCTTTTTTCAGTTTTGTTAGTGATGGTTGTGCTAGTATGCTAGGTGGTATTTCCTTTTTTTTTTTTTTTTATTTGAGACAATCTCACTGTCTCCCAGGCTAGAGTTCAGTGTTGCAATCATAGCTCACTAAAGCCTCGGACTCAAGTGTGCCTCCTGCCTGAGTCTCCCAAGTTGCTGGGATTACAGGTGTGAGCCACCATGCCTGGCTTTCCTTATTTTTATTTTGTGTTTCCTTAATTATTGCTACTGCTATCACCACCACTGCTATTGTTACAGTGGTGATAATGATGATGATGATGATGATAAAGAGATGGACTAGTAACTTTAGGCATCTCTGCCTAAATTTGCATCTCTGTGAATTGCCTCTTTGAATTCTCTACCATTTTTGTTTACAAGGCCATTTATGGTTTTATTACTGAATTATTGGAACTTTTAATGAATTATAGATAATTGGCTTTCTCTGGTTTGTGTGTGGTAAATATAGGCATACCTCAAAGATACTGCCAGTTCAGTTCCAGACCACAGCAATAAAAGCAAATATCACAATAAAGCAAGTCACATTAATTTTTTGGTTTCCCAGTACAATAGCATTATTTCTTTAAAATTTTAATTTAAAAATGCCTTAATTTAAAATTACTTTATTGCAAAGAACTGGTAACAATCAACTGAGTCTTCTACAAGTCATAACCTTTTTGCTGGTGGAGGGTCTTGCCTCAGAGTTGAAGACTGTTGATGCATTAGGGTGGTGGTTATGGAAGGCTGGGTGGCTGTGGCAATTTCTTAAAATAAGAAAACAGTGAAGTTTGCCACATCAATTGACTCTTCCTTTCACAAAAGATTTCTCTGTGGTATGCAGTGCTATTTGATAGCATTTTACTCACAGTAGAACTTCTTTCAAAATGGAGTCAGTCCTTTCAAACCTTGCTGCTACTTTATCAAATAAGTTCATGTACTGTTCTAAATCCTTTGTCGTCATTTCCGAAATGTTTATAGTGTCTTCATCAGAATTAGATTCCATCTCAAGAAACCACCTTTTTTGCTCCTCCATAAGAACTCCTCATTCGTTCAAGTTTGATCATGAGATTGAAGCAGTTGTGTCACATCTTCAGGTTCTACTTCCAATTCTAGTTCTCTTGCGATTTCCACCACATGTGCAGTTACTTCCTTCGCTGAAGTCTTGAGCTCCTCAAAGTCACTCATGAGGGTTGTAATAAAATTCTTCCAAACTGCCATTAATATTGATATCTTGACCTCCTCCCTTGAATCACAAGTGTTCATAGTGGCATTTAAAATGATACAGCCTTTCCAGAAGGTTTTCAATTTACTTTGTTCATATTTATCAGAAGAATCACTATCTCTAGTAGCTATATCCTGATGAAGTTTATTTCTTAAACAGTACGACTTGAAAGTCAAAATTACTCTAAGATCCATGGGCTGCAGAATGGATGTTGTGCTAGCAGGCATAAAAACAACATTAATCTCCTGTACCTCTCCATCATACCTTTTGGGTGACCAAGTGCATTGTCAATGACCAGTCATTTTGAGATCTTTCTGAGTAGTAGGTCTCAACAGTGGGCTTAAACTATTCAGTAAACCATGCTATAAACAGATGTGCTGTCATCCAGACTTTGTTGACCCATTTATAAAGCACAGGCAGAATCGTTTTAGCATAATTCTTAAGGGCCCTAGGATTTTGGTATGGCGAATGAGTGTTGGCTTGATTTTAAAGTCAACAGCTGCATTAGCCTCAAACAAGAGAGTCAGCTTGTCCTTTGAAGCTTTTAAGACAAACATTGACTTCTCTTTAGCTATGAAAGTCCCAGATGGCATCTTCACTGAACAGAAGGCTATTTCATCTACATGGAAAAGCTGTTTAGTGTAGCCACCTTCACCAGTGATCTTAGCTAGATCTTCTGGATAACTTGCTGCAGCTTCTATATCATGAGCACTTGCTGCTTCACCGTGCACTTCTATGTTATAGAGATGGCTTCCTTCCTTAGACCTCACGAACCAACCTCTGCTAGCTTCAGACTTTTCTTCTGCAGCTTCCTCACCTCTCTCAGCCTTCATAGAATTGTAAAGACTCAGGGCCTTGCTTTGGGTCAGGCTTTGGCTTAAGGGAATCTTGTGGCTGGTTTGGTTTTGTATCCAAACCACTAAAACTTTCTCCATATCTGTGATAAGGCTGTGTTTCACTTTGTTGTCATTTGTGTGTTCACTGGAGTGGCACTTTTAATATCCTTCAAGAACTTTTCCTTTGCATTCACAGCTTAGCTAACTATTTGGCACAAGAGGCCTTGCTTTAGGCCTGTCTTGGCTTTCAATATGCCTTCTTCACTAAGCTTAATCATTTCTAGCCTTTGATTTAAAGTGAGAGACATGTGACTCTTCCTTTCACTTGAACACTTAGAGGCCACTATGGGGTTATTACTTGGGCTAATTTCGATATTATTGTGTCTCAGAAAATAGGGAGGTCCAAGGAGAGGGAGAGAGATGGGGAATGGCAGGTGGGTGGGCGGAGCAGTCAGAACACAGGTAGCATTGTATTGATTAAGTTCACCATCTTATATGGGCGGGTTTCCTGGTGCCCCAGAACAATAACAGTAGTAACAGTAGTGATCTTTGGATCACTTATCACAGATCTTCATAACAGATATAATAAAAATGAAAAAGTTTGAAATGTTGTGAGAATTACCAAAATGGAACACAGAGACATGAAGTGAGCACATGCTGTTGAAAAAATGGCACCAATATATTTGCTTGATGCAGAGTTGCCAGAAATCTTCAATTTTTTAAAAAAAGCAAACAAAAAAGTCTGTAATGTCTGTGAGGCACAATAAAATGATATATGTATGCCTCTATATTTTTCCCAGGACTGTTGTCTTTCTTGATTTTTCTTGATTTTTTTTAATGATTTTTTTTCACTACAGAGGCTTTGTACATTTTTATATAGTCATGCATCATTTAACAGTGGGGACGTGTTGTTAGACAATTGTGTCACTGCGTAACCATCATGGAGTGTACTTACAGATACCTAGATGGGTATAGCCTATTGCTCCTAGTCTGTCTATAAACCTGTGAGGCATTTTAGTGTACTGAATGCTGTAGGTAGTTGTAACACAATGATAAATATTTATGTATCTAAACATAGAAAAGGTACAGTAAAAATACAGTGTTATCATTATTCTGCACATGGCTGTATATAAAATTACAACTTGTATAGTTTGAGTTTGGTGGCTTTAGGAAAGCCTTTCCTAATCATCAAACGATAACAGCGTTCTGTATTATATTTCTCTTGATTTCATAATTTTATTATTTTAACCTTTAACCTCTGTGGAAGGATATAGGGGTATGTGTGTATGTTAGTTAAAAGTGTGACTTTATGTTTTTCCTACATGGATAGCCAGGTATATTGATGCTGTTTGTTGAATGGTTCATTCAGCCTTTCCCCTAGATTTTAAAATGACCATTTCTCACATTCAAGTGTGTATACGTGCGTGCGTATGTACTATGTACACGTGTGTGCCGTGTGCATGCATGTCTGTTGTTCTGTATCTGGACACTGCTCTGTTCCATTGATATCTTTGTCTTTTTATTAAAAAAAAACACTGTTTTAAATACAGTAGGTTTATGGGGAAATCTGCCCCCTTTTATCATATACTTTTTTTTTTTCATTAAAATTACAGATTTCATGATTACACTTTCTTGCATTTTTACAGATTGGGGCTCCTTCTTCCCCATCCACTATGAGTTTAGGATTATAAGAAAGATAATAACTGTCTCCACTTACTGGATAGTTTTCTGCACTGGGAATGCAGTAAGTATTTATAGTTTTTATTTCCCCTAAAACAACAAACCTTGAGAATTGGTGCCGGTAATCCTCTTCTGTGGGTGAGGAAAGTGAGGCTCAGTTATTAAGCAATTTGTCCAAGGCTACACTTCTGGACATTGGTGGAACAAAGGTTCCAGACCAAGTCCAGGTGCTTTTGAATCCTCTCTTGACACTATGCAACCCAGACACATGGAGTTTTCTCATGGGACAGGCCACCATCTAGGATGGGTTATCAGTTGCTTCTGCGTGTCCTGTGGGGCAGTCAGTGACTTTTACAGGGTAAGTGTGTGTGACATGAAGACCTAACAATTTCCTCTTTTAAGGAGGGTGGCTTGGAATACAAAGGTGAGGAAGACACAGCCCTGGACATTAAGGATGGGGCAGTCTGCTGGGAGAAACCATATGTACAACGCTGGGAATTTTCAGCTTTTTTGAAGAAAACACAACGTGTTAGCTCTCTAGTAGAAGAACAGAGGTCTGAGGTGGATCTAGAAATGCTTTGCCGTGGAGGGGCATTTAAACTGGAGGATTACTCATGTGTCTAAATCGATCTACCTAACACTCTGTGTCTTCCCTTCCCCTCAGCCTCTTGGTTTGGATTCTCTCAGGTGCCTTCTGTTGCTTCTTAGGGGTGAACTTCAGGAAAGTAATTTTCTTTGGAGAACTTTGAAGCTGCCTCCCAAACAGAAGTCCCGCTAAGCTCCCACCGGGAGTCTTGGAAAAGTAATCCTATTTATTAGGAGTAGTGTATTGATTTTGTGTGTAAAATGGACCCAGAGGCCTGTGACAATGAGTCCATTTCAAATTATAATTTTAAATATCCAACAGAATAGCTGTGCAGAAATACTACCCCAGAATATAAATGATTAGATGCTTAGTGAATTTCTCATGTGCATGTAATTAATTGGCAATTGGGGGGGATTCAAGTTTGTTTTCAAATCCTAAGTCCTTGAATCTATCTTTTCTTCAACAATTACAAGTGTAAGTATAGGGAAATTAAATCTTACAGGCTTTCATAAAAACATATAGTTTTGCATTGTCATTCATTTATTATTGGTCCACATTAACCGATTTTGTATTATATAATGGAAGGCACACCTAATCAGAGACTTCTTGTTTTTACTGCATGGCTACACTCTTAATTTTGTGAAAGCATAGAGGGTTTCCTTCCAGATTAGAAGCTAAGTGAATAATTATTTTGTTATTTATTTAGCACATGCTGCCCCGACCTTGTTTCTTATGTCTGAAACGTCTACTCTATTCCCAGACTTCCTGTTGGTGGCATCTGTCTGATCACCACCTAGTGTCACTTTGAGATTATGGTCACACGAGGGCCTCCCACACGGGGGCCTTCCGGGGCCCACTGGTGCTTGGAACCCTGAAGTCTTGGCTTGGCCTCGCCTGTCCAGGCTTTCCCTCATGCCCAGGGCTTAAACTTGAACTCTGCCCACTCTGTTAGCAGTTTTTCTTTACATTTTCCTTTAAAATATACTTTCACTTCTTCCTTCCCATCCCCCCCAATACAACTGCCTGGCATCCTGGCTTTTTCCATTCTTGACAAATGATCTGTCCACTGTAACTGTAGCTCGGCTGTGCTGATATCTGTTGAAATTAGACCTAGAATCTAAATGTGGCTTCATGAAACTATGGTTGAGACATTTTTCTCTTCAAATAGTCTGTGGGTCTATTGGCACCTGAAACTGCCTATCAGTATCTTCTCCACTATGGTGTTGGGGGAGGAAAATGGGATAAAAGTGATTTAGAATTAAAGGTTCTATATAAGGTGCAGTGTTAGCTGGTTTTTTGCATCTATAATAGAGAAATGTTCGCCACCACTGCTGCCGGCCTCCCCCGAGCACATTGAACCGGCTCCAACCTAATTGCGTTTCTTATCTTGTAACAGGAATCACAAACCCTCCCTATGTCCGCTCCTACAGCTCCTTCTTATCCTAATGAGGCTTTGTAACCAAAAGATTAAATGTTTCACTTATGCTCCATTGACTGAGTTACCCAAACACTTTGTATTTGGCCCTTTTCCTCTTAGAAGTTCAAAACAATAATTTAGTCCTGAAAGTGCTCCTGCAAAATCCAGGTCCATGACAAATGTGACTCCGTTGTGCTGGAGGCAGGCCAGACTGCGCGGTGGTCACTTGGACCATGCACTAAGGGGACGGCAGGCAGCTTAGGGAAGAGGGGCTGGCCACACCGCAGGGTTTGCTGTATAGTCAGACTTGGGGTACCCGGGACCTGGCTAGGTGGGATCAGTTCTTCAACCTCTGGGCTCCAGTTTCTCATCTGTCAAATATAAGTGATCTTCAAGGGCCCCTTCCGCTCGGGCCTTCTTTGATTCTGCCCACTAAGCCACAGGGACTGACTTTGGCCATTGAGTTCTTGGGGACTTTGGGGAGGTTTTGCTGCCAAGATGGCCACTCATTCTGCCGCCATGCTCTTTGGCCCGCCATTTGAAGTGACTCAGGTCTGTGCAGGAAGAGAAATGTCACTGTGGGAGTTGGTCCCTCCTACCACCTGCCACCCCTCTTCCACCGCCAGACTTTATGTCCCTTGCTTCTCCTCTTTTCAAAGTCCTAGGGGTTACTTAGGATATTTGTTATTTACATTTACATTCCTGAGTGTGCTCCTTCAAAGTGAGTTGGCACCAGTTCATTTTAAATTCTAAAGTAGACCTCTGAATTAGGGTGTGGTTCTTCTTGACTTTGAGATGGGCCCTGCTCAAATGTAGCAGGCCTAGGTGGCTGTCACTGCCTACTGGGTGCTAGGACTTTGGTCCCTGCCTGCCAGTGACTCAGAACTGCCTTTAAGCTCTTAATGTGGCTCTGTGAAGTACTGAAATGTCATTTCAGAGTTACAGGTGAGGAAACAAGGTCAGAGACATTTAGTGATTTTCTTTTCCCCCAAGGTAAGGGGAGTGGATAAAGGTTTGGACTTTGGAGTTACTTGGGTTTAAAGTCTTACAAGCTACAGGAGCTTAGGCAAGTTATGTCACTTTTCTAGCCCTGAGTTTCCTCATCTGTGACATGGGACAATTAATGACCTGCCTCTCAGGGTTGATTGGGGAACGGGTGGCTGAAGGAGAACACATGTCTGGGACATAGAAAGGGTCAGAAAGTTTAGCACTTCCTGGATATGGTGAGCCAGGAGTGGAGGTGGAGTCTAAATCTTCTATTGGCACACAACTTCCCATGTATAAAGAAAATTAGAGGCAGTAAGTAGATAGACCTATTTATTCTCATTGTTCCATAAATATATTTAGAACAATTTTAGTCAGCATGGATTTGGTACAAATTTTGTTGTAGCTTTTTTTTTTTTTTCCCTTTTGTTATTCTAAGCTGCCCTAGAATATTTTTAGAAATTTCTGGGAACTCAGGACTATGTAATTGCCAGGGCAGAGCCAAGACACTGAAGGTTCTCCTAGACCAGTGGTTCTCAACTGGGGACAGTTCTGCCCCCCAGGTGACATTTGGCAATGTCTGGAGATACTTTGAGTGTCACAACAGCAGGTGGGGGTGCTATCAACATCTAGTGGGTTGAAACCAGAAATGCTGTTAAATATCCTCCAATACACATGACAGCCCCCCTCCCAACAAAGAATTATCTGGCCCCAAATGCCAAGAAATCTTCTCAGGTAATCCCATTTCTGTTGCAGACAGTCTTTCTCCCCTAACTGCAAAGTATGTAAGCCTTCCCGAACTAGGTATATAGTAGTCCCCACTTGTCACTTTCCATAGTTTCAGTTACTTGAAGTCTGAAACTATTAAATGGAAAATTCCAGAATTAAACATTTCATAAGTTTTAAATCGAGCACTGTTCCGAGAAGTGTAATGAAATCTTGCACCATGCTGCCTGGAACATGATTCGTCCTCTTTGACCAGCGTATCCATGCCATAAATGCTCCTCCCAGCCCTTCACAGTATAGGGAAAAAAACCTAGTGGATATAGGGTTTGGTACATCTGAGGTTTCAGGCATCCACTAGGGGCAGTCTTGGAAGTATCCCTCTCAGATAAGGGGGGACTACTATATTTTGGTTTTCCATGTGAATGATCTTAAAAGTCCTGAAAATGTAGGACCATTTCTCTAACTGTAAGAGAAGACGGAAATTGGAGAGGAAAACATTTCTGTTCTTCTACATAAGTTTGAGGTATATAAAACTTTGAGATCCTATGAGAAATTCTTCTTAACTATTTTTGTGTGTGTTTTTTCCCCCAATATTGTAATCCACTTTGATGTTTTAGTTTCTATAAGCACAAAACAGTAGCAAGCTGTACAAATAAAATGTGTACTTTTACATTTTAATTGCTTTTTTTATACAAATAATACATGGCTTTCTGTTCTTACACATTGATTCCTAGGGGAATTTTAATATTTTATTGAATAGTAAATAAAATGGCCTATTTTTTTCTTTTAAATTGAACTACCCTAGTTGTTATTCTGAACCATTAGTTCTAAAATGAATACTCTCTATTAACATAGCAGCTTGTACTAACTAACCATGCTTTGAGTATTGTGCTGTGGTTAATCAAAGGTAAAACAGGAAGTTTTATTTTAAATATAAGTTCTACTTTTAAATTCTAATTTTGCTAATTTTCCATTCTGGATTATTAAGATAGGTAGGGTTGCCAGATAAAATATAGGATGCCAAGTTCAATCTGAATTTCAGGTAAACAACAAATCACTTTTTTAGTATAAGTAAGTCCCATGCACTGTTCATGATATACTTATTGTAAAGATATTATTTATTGCTTGTCTGAAATTCTAATTTAACCGGTGTTTTATATTTTTATTTGCTAAATCTGGCAACCCTAAAGATAGGACTCAGGGTAATTGGAACATACCAGGAAATAGCATTCATATTTGACATCTCCCTGCATAACTTTATCTTGGATGTTGTACTTTATGAAAGTGTTAAGTAATAAATCTCAGATAATTTGCCAAGAAGAAGAAAATAAATTTCTGAAGGTAATGCAGA